AAGTAACCTAATATGTTTCACAGCTGACAGCAAGCCTAGATAGCTTTGACATTTGGAAAACTGTGGGGCGGGGGTTCACCAGCATGTCACAGAGCTGCTACTGAACACAGAGGTGATCTCATTTTCTAACCAGGTAAGAAAGAAAGTAGGCTAGTTTCCATAATGTTCAATTATTCCTCTAAATTAATCAAGTTGGCCTTTTTCACTGAAGACATTTTGACAATTCATAGGTTTAAGTAGTGATGATCAGGGCCATGGTAGTGTGCAATGGAAATGGAGCCAGGATTAACGTTGTATGTTATGTCTGTGTTTTACCTGTTTTAACTTCTTTTCAGTGGCCTAAGGCCCCTTTTTAAAAATGATGTGTGATGTTTGCGGTAGTATGGCAGAGAAACTACAAATCTATAATAACAATAGACTAGCCAATTTGCTTGTAACATTAGTTAGGTTCACCCCTTTTCTCTGTAACTCTAGTAAAGCCATTGTGAAGCATGTGAAATTCATTTTGCACACACACTGTTAGAGTGAGGAAACCTCAGCATCACTGTGTGCACCAGTGCTTCAGTTAATGGTCCCTTCACACCCTACTTATTAAGATGTACTGTAAGAGTCTAGTGTGCATTGTTAAACAAAGACAGCTTTTGTGTCAAACAGCCTCAATGTAACATGTCATCTTTACACCCGAACGTTTGACTGAATGCACATTCAGCTGGTACAGAAGGCTGCTGATGAGTGTGTGACTTTTTGACGTAATACACACTCACCAGGCTGACTGGTTAGTCATAATGCACTCCTCTGTTCTTCCCCAGCAACACAAGGGGAGAGGAGAGACGAGTTGTGAACTTCTGTTTCCTGGAGGTGGCATTCTTTTGGGTAATTCATGCTTCAAAAAGAAGTGGTAATGTATCTGGGGAGAAAAGACATATTCCACTGTTCTGTACTGGGTAATTTTCTGTTTTTGTAATTTGTCTGCCTTCATAAAAGTGAATTGTGAACGTATCTTTGGTAACTGCTCCTACATCTTCACAGAACTGCGCTTTGTTGGCTGCTTTTGCTGCTTGCATGGTTTATTTTATAGTAAATGATCTAGGGCAATCAGTTTTCTCTTTAATGCATGATATTAATCTTTTGTAGATGGGAACCAGCTTATGGCCCCAGAACATTGTGCTCTGTTAATGACAATTATTATTTAAATGCTTGAAAATCATTTAATGGAGGGAGAATGGGAGACTTAATTAATGACATTAATTAAGTCATTTTTGGTAAGTATTTCTGCAGCAGAATGTGTGCTATTAAAAAAAAGCATTAAAATATGAATTGAAAAGCTCACTTGAGGTACACTGGTCAGTGATTATGTCTTTGAGTACCTCTAAGAGAAGATCTGAGTCTCTAATTAACAGTGTGCAAAGGCCTATAACAGAAATAGGCAATCACGTGACCTGGAGAACCAACAGACTGCATGTTTTGTTTCCAACCAATCAATACACCTTTAGACCAGATAAGGAGAAGGAAACTATCAGTGAGATCACCTGGTGGAGTGATTGGTTGGAATAGTCGTATACATTCATTGCAAACATCTTACAATCTGTCTTGATTTTCTCTGAGGTTCTTTTTCCTCATTCTTGACCTTTAAACCATGATAAAATCCTAATTAATATCAATGATATTAGAGCCAGTCACAGTACTAATCCAGTAACGCTCTATTAATTTGACATTTTGGGGCCAGCTTATTCGCTGTGTTACTGGGAGTATGATGAAGGGTTGGTATCAGTTCAGTGAGTAGACTGGTCAGTGGCCTCTACTTAGTTTTATGTGTTCCTTGCCGGCTCATGTGGCAGATGTTAACCACAGGTATGAGTACATTTATTTTTAGAGTTGGAGGGTGTGCACCTATGCTTCTGAAGTCAGGACATCTGCGTGCAGTCACCAAGGTTGATCCAAGTCACCAACTAGCGGCTGTGGTACACATTGCTAATAAAATCTTTTCATATTTTACTGTCCTACAATATTGAATAAAAGTACATTTAATGTTTTATTACACTGATCAGCAGTGGGAGACCCTTTAATGCCAAAGTGAAAGCAAGAGTAAAGCAGCAACCAGTGAAGCACTAAGCTAACTGCCATTGTCTCTAGGTTTCTCCACCCTCAGCCACTGAAGCGTGTTACTCTTTCAGAGCCATCATAGGTGTTTTGATTTGCAGTTGTACCATGCTCTTGGCATTTCTTAATCATTTATTCACACTCTGTTTTTAATACATTTATTTCTTATCAAGCATAATAAGTTATAAAATTGTGTCAAAACTCACTTAAGAGCATCTA